ATTTAGGTCCACCACTTCTACCAGCACTTTGCAATGAGCAGACATCGGAGGCTGCCCTTTGTCACTGGCCTGTGCGTGAATCTCAAAGGCAGGATTTTCTTCATAGTCGATCTTACCTCTGACTAAAATTGCACCTGACTTAGAATTAATTTCAAATAACTGTAAAATGTGATCCTGGCCTTTACTTCTTAATGAATATTCAATGTCAGCATTTAATCCCTCATCTGCGTCTGTTGCATTCAGAACTATTACAGTATACCCTGCTTGTAGGTTTTCAAACATTTTAACTTTGTAGAGGTTTTTACTAAACACCGGGTGGTTGTCGTTACTATCCAAAACGTTGATAATGATTTGTGAGGTTCCCGATCTGGATGGATTTCCTCCATCCACTGCCGTTAGTGTGAGTTTTATTACAGAGTCATGCTCTCGATCTAAGGATTTCTGTAGTACTAACTCAGCCGACACACTATCTCCCCCTTTGTGAATTTCTAAAGAAAAATAATCATTGTTACTGAGCTTGTATGTAGTAACACCGTTCTTTCCAACATCTGAATCCGATGCCTCTATCAATCCAAATTTCACTCCCGGTAAAGTACTTTCGGCAATGTGAAGTGACTGCAATTGCTCAGAGAAAACAGGTGCATTGTCATTTATGTCTACTATGTTTACCTCGAAACGGTAAAGCTTTAGTGGGTCATTTATCACGGCTTCTACATCGACAGTACATTTTGCAGCCTTCGCACAAAGCTCTTCACGGTCTATTCTTGCGCCGACATAAAGAACACCAGTTTTTAAATGTACGTCAAAATATTTTCTCTTTGTTCCGGCAACGATCTGAAACATACGAGACTCTAAATCCTGGACATTTAGATTGAGATCCTTGGCGATATTTCCAACAGAAGCCCCCGGGTTTACCTCCTCTGATATGGAATAGGAGAGCTGTCCATTCACTGCTTCCCAGCAATAATTCAGCAGCATGACCGCAACATATATCCAAAAAAGCCTCGTTCTGTTTGAGAAATCCATGATTGCTACCAACCGAGAAAAATAATAAGTCCAAGTCAAATCACTCCTGCAAAACAGCTATATTAAAATCAAAGTCCAATTCCTCCAATTTGATCATCAGGCAACTGGAACATGTTTTCACCATTTCCTTTCTCGCCCTGCGTCCCGTAACAAACCCCGGAGAACATGATCATCATCCTCTGTTTCTGGGAGGAGTCTTGTATATCCTAATCTAACGTACAAATGTCACGGTCTTCACTGTCCCCATGTGGTGACGAGAAAGAACTGCATTCAAACTGACAGACACAATGGAAATGATTTAAAAACAAAGCTAAAGGAGCATTTTAATATCAATACTGATATGTTTAAGTATTTCAAACAATCACAATTTATGCATTTAGACAAATCTTTATACTTTTTTTGTTCTCTTTATTGCTTTTCTATTTATCCAAACCAATATAGATGAACTGATATGCCAGCTAGATTGAGGCAACCATACAACAATGGCAGGAAACTATGAGTAAAACAAAACAACACATTGAAGATACATACATAATTGTAACTGGTTGTTCTTAAAACAAATTGCAATAGTTCCCTATTTTGTAAAATAAAACGGCAAAGGAAACAGGCGTACAAAATGTAAATTATGATTTATTCCCAAACTGTTATGAGACGGGGTGGGCATCCTTCATGTTTAAATACAGATGTCTTAAACAAATATGCAAATAGATGCGGCGCAAAACTAACCTATCCTCTTTCCATTGGTAACATGTTACATGCTGCATTTCCTGACCCCACACAACAATGTGGCGCTATTCTAGCACCACGGACAGCCGTAAACACTTATTTGGAAACGTTAGGATTTATGGCATCAACAAACTTTCATTGTTACTCTAATTTATGTTACTACTAATATTTTCAAAAAAAGTCTGAGGCAAAGCAAACATTCATGAATACAGCGAGGGAAAGTATCGACAAGTCATTTAACTTCACATACAATACATATAAACACGAAGCCTTTTCAGCCTCATCTTTCGAGAGTTTTCTATCTCTTTATATTTTGTTTCTTACCTTGTCATTGTTGGGTAAAGTCTGAGTTCTGTTAAAAGTGTCTCCTCCGTTAATACTGATCAGTTCACCATCTACAGGCGGAAATGGTCCGGGGAAAACCACTACGTCACTCTTCATTGTGTCTGAGCTGAAACACACGTCGTACTGCTGAGTAGATTTAGAGTAAGACCAGCTCCCGTCAGGGTGGGTGGTGATCATTGGGGCGCTGTACCTGCTGAAACGGCCGTCTGTCCTGTGGCATTTGACAGCTATTAAACTGATGAGGCTCAGCAGAAAGATCACTGACACCGACACAATGGCGATCAGCAGATACAGGTTCAAATCAGAGAAGCTCTCCTCCTGTATGGGCACATGTCTGAACTGAGTCTGGATGTCAGCTGTGCTTTCAACCACCACCACATCAATAGACACAGTAGCTGACAGGGAGGGTTCTCCGTTATCAGAAACCAACACCACCAAGGGGTGAGTTTTCAGGTCATTGTCACTCATTCTCCTCTTAGTCCTGACTTCTCCGCTACTGGTTCCGATCCGGAAGAGGTTGTTTCCTTTGGGCTCAGAGAGGTGATACGAAAGCAGCGCATTGTATCCAGAGTCTGCGTCTACAGCCCTGATCTTTGCCACAAAGTATCCCGCCTCAGCAGAATAGGGGATGCTCTCACTGTTAACGGAGCCATGCTCAGAATAGGGCGCGAGGACTGTTGGATTGTTGTCATTTTCATCCAGAATTAAAACGTTCACAGTCACGTTGCTGCTGAGAGGAGGAACACCAGAGTCTGTGGCCTGGACTTTAAACTGAAACGTGTTTAACTCCTCATAGTTAAAAGACTGCAGGCTGACTATATCTCCAGTCTCTGAGTTGATGTTCAACATTGTAGATAACGGGACTGAGTCACTTTTACTTTGCAAAAAGGAATAGCTCACCTGGCCATTTTGACTGATATCGACATCAACTGCAGTCACTGTTTTAATTACTGCTCCTAATGGACTGTTTTCTTTCACATAAATATTAATGAACGGCTCTGAGAAGTGAGGCGGGTTATCATTAACATCAGACACATGCACTGTCACTATGTTGGTTCTGGAGAGAGGCGGAGTCCCTCCATCAGTCGCTACAATAACGACATTGTAATCCGATATAGTCTCTCTGTCAAGCGGACCATTAACTACCAACGAATAATAGTTTTTGTAATTTGTGTCTAATTTAAAGGGGACATCATTTGCAATTACTGCCTTTACTTCAACGTTTTTCCCACCATCTTTGTCCAGCACAGAAACAAGTGCTATAGCAGTTCCTACCCCTGCGTCCTCCTTCACAGTGTTTAGTAGTGACGTCACAGTGATCTCAGGAGCGTTATCATTTAGGTCCACCACTTCTACCAGCACTTTGCAATGAGCAGACATCGGAGGCTGCCCTTTGTCACTGGCCTGTGCGTGAATCTCAAAGGCAGGATTTAGTTCAAAGTCGATCTTACCTCTGACTAAAATTGCACCTGACTTGGAATCAATCTGAAATAAATCTAAAATGTGATCCTGGCCTTTACTTCTCAATGAATATTCAATTTCAGCATTTAATCTCTCATCTGCGTCCGTTGCATTCAGAACTATTACAGTCTTACCAATTTCTAAGTTCTCAGAAATCCGTGCCTTGTATAAAGAGCTAGTGAAAACCGGGGCATTATCGTTTATGTCTAAAACATTAATGATGATTTGTGACGTTCCTGATTTAGGTGGATTGCCACCGTCGACAGCAGTCACTGTTAATCTTACAGTATTTTGTTTTTCTCGGTCTAATCCTTTCTCGAGAAGAAGTTCGGCAGACACACTTTCTCCCCCCTTGTGCACCTCTAAAGAAAAATAATCATTTGTACTGAGCCTGTAAGTACTAACACTATTCTTACCAACATCGAGATCTAACGCCCCTATAAATCCAAATTTCCCTCCTGGCACAGTGCTTTCAGCAATGTTAAGAGACTGCACATTCTCAGGGAAATAGGGTGCATTGTCATTTATATCAACTATATTTACCTCGAATCGGTAAAGCTTCAGTGGATTGTTTATCACGGCCTCTACATCGACAGTACATGTTGTAGCCTTCGCACAAAGTTCCTCACGGTCGATTCTTTCCTTGATATAAAGAACGCCCGTTTTTAAATGTACGTCAAAATATTTTCTCTTTGATCCGCTTACAATCTGAAACATACGTGCCTCCAATTCGTGTACATTAAGATTTAGATCTTTAGCGAGATTTCCCACAGAAGTCCCCGGGTTTACCTCCTCTGACACAGAGTAAGAGAGCTGCCCAGACACCGCTTCCCAGCAACAATCCAAAAGAACAAGGACTATATAAATCCTGAAGGGGCTCCGTATCCTCCGCAGCGACATATTTGTATCCAACGTGAACAGAGCATATGGATGCTTATCTCCAAAATCTCCTTTTATAATTAAGGATGAAACCAAGTGCCAAAATCCAGTTCCTTGCTTGTTTAAGGGGTAACAGACGAAATTATGTCCACTCAAGTCTTTCACTGCGCCTCTTTGTAACAAAGCCGAGCGAAACAGAATTATCCTCTGAATGTGGGAGGAGCCTGAAGCAACCAAGAGGCACTGAAAATGTGATGGTCTACAATGTCCCCGTGTGGTCGTTTAAAATCATTACTTTCAACACTGAAAACAAAAACAAAAATCACTTCATATCTGAACTCTCAAGAAAATATATGTAATTGAAAAACACAAAATAATCGTCCAAGTGCCCAATTAACGTAACAAAATATTAGTATTTGTACAAAAACAGGATACAAATATAAATTACAAATAGACCATACTGCATTCTCCGTTTCTTATTAAGCGTATGAACCATGGCAATGAGATTATGATTCAATGCAATGATTCTGATTCTGATTATCCAGAGACACAATCAATTGTGGCGAAATCTCTTAGACATCACGTATCAATAATTATAAAACAATGTAAGAAACTTGGTAACACTTATTAACACCTCAACTAATATGCATTAAAGTCAAATATAATGCATTTATAATGCTTTATATCACTTAAACAGAAATGATACTTTCTGGTTCACTAAATATATCGATATATTTCTAAATAATGATGTTACATTGTTATGATACAAAATATTATAGATGTGACTCAGTTATTCGTGGCTTGTGGATGCTCGTGATACACACTTCTAAATCAACTGTAGTAAGGACACTTATTTTGTTGCAATAGTTCATGCACTTATGCATTTATCATAGTTCCTGCTTCATCATGAATCATTATTTTGCATTGTTACATAATTGTATTTTGTTATGCTCTCGTCAAATATTCTCTCTAAACGGTGGCGCTCATTTCAGCACCATGGACAACGAAATATAAGTACTGCAGTGCTCTCGGAAGTATGTTGTTACTTCCACAGTACCTTAGCCCATGATTCGAAAAAAACACATACAAAAAAACTGTTATAAATAACAATGTTGAAAGTTATCCGAAATAATTTGCATGTCATGTATAAGTAAAGAGGAGCACGGAGGAACATGTTCCCTTTCAGCGGTACACCTGTATAATTACACATACAATGAAACTTGTTGCTTTTTCATATTTTTCTTACCTTGTCATTGTTGGGTAAAGTCTGAGTTCTGGTAAAAGTGTCTCCTCCGTTAATACTGATCAGTTCACCATCTACAGGCGGAAACGGGCCGGGGAAAACCACTACGTCACTCTTCATTGTGTCTGAGCTGAAACACACGTCGTACTGCTGAGTAGATTTAGAGTAAGACCAGCTCCCGTCAGGGTGGGTGGTGATCATTGGGGCGCTGTACCTGCTGAAACTGCCGTCTGTCCTGTGGCATTTGACAGCTATTAAACTGATGAGGCTCAGCAGAAAGATCACTGACACCGACACAATGGCGATCAGCAGATACAGGTTCAAATCAGAGAAGCTCTCCTCCTGTATGGGCACATGTCTGAACTGAGTCTGGATGTCAGCTGTGCTTTCAACCACCACCACATCAATAGACACAGTAGCTGACAGGGAGGGTTCTCCGTTATCAGAAACCAACACCACCAAGGGGTGAGTTTTCAGGTCATTGTCACTCATTCTCCTCTTAGTCCTGATTTCTCCGCTACTGGTTCCAATCCGGAAGAGGTTGTTTCCTTTGGGCTCAGAGAGGTGATACGAAAGCAGCGCATTGTATCCAGAGTCTGCGTCTACAGCCCTGATCTTTGCCACAAAGTATCCCGCCTCAGCAGAATAGGGGATGCTCTCACTGTTAACGGAGCCGTGCTCAGAATAGGGTGCGAGGACTGTCGGATTATTGTCATTTTCATCCAGAATTAAAACGTTCACAGTCACGTTGCTGCTGAGAGGAGGAACACCAGAGTCTGTGGCCTGCACTTTAAACTGAAACGTGTTTAACTCCTCATAGTTAAAAGACTGCAGGCTGACTATATCTCCAGTCTCTGAGTTTATGTTCAACATTGTAGATAATGGGACTGAGTCCATTTTACTTTGTAAAAAGGAATAGCTCACCTGGCCATTTTGACTGTTATCGGACTCAGTCCCATTATCTACAATGTTGAACATAAACTCAGAGACTGGAGNGTGTGTGTGTGTGTGTGTGTGTGTGTGTGTGTGTGTGTGTGTGTGTGTGTGTGTGTGTGTGTGTGTGTGTGTGTGTGTGTGTGTGTGTGTGTGTGTGTGTGTGTGTGTGTGTGAGAGAGAGAGTGTGTGTGTGTGTGTGTGTGTGTGTGTGTGTGTGTGTGTGTGTGTGTGTGTGTGTGTGTGTGTCACAATGTGTTCTTGTTCGTTCAGTGCGATGAAAGGGCTATGTGAAAGCATACAGTAGAGTAGCAGAGACACATTTAGAAGTGGGTAGAAAATCCAGTTGTGTGTTCATTTTTATACTATTGCAATCGTAGAAAAAATAGACCAATAGGCTTCTGGATTTATAAGGGTGTATGTTTGTGCACCATGTCTGTGCCTGAGATGGTGTTGCTATGGAGACAAGAGAGCTGTGCAGAAGGAGAGAGGAAAGGGGGGGGACCTGCCTTGGAGCATGTTCAGCACCCTTCCCCCATCTACTCACACACAGATGAACAGTACAGTAAATGCCCTTATAAGACACATTTACTCACAAGCACACACACAGCTTATAGCTATGCAAAGGTCCATCATTACATTATTCTTATTGAGGAGAAATATAAGCTTATTTGGTCGCTATGTGTAGAGGTACCCCTTTAATAATGCAGTGAACACGCCTTAAAAAGTGTTGTTGACTGCTTCCGCCTCTGCCACCCCCTCCCCTCTCCTTCCGCTTCCTCTGCCCCTTTGATCACACTGCTCATGGTGCAGCCTATACTGTTCCTCCTTTTAACTTAATCACGTGATGAGGGAACTGCAGACAGAGAAGCAGGTTAAAAGGCACACATGTATTTACCCACTAGGTTTATTATGCACATTCCCCTGGGTTCAGGGAGTGAGTACTGTGTGTTTGTACAAACCCCCATTTATTCATGATGAATTATTCAGCGAATGATCATATCCTCAGGAAATATGACTATCATCAATGAATACAGAGTTAATTGATGAAATCTCAATTATTGTCCTCATTTTCAATTCAAACGTAATGATATTAGATTCTGCATTGGTGCATACATTTAATTGACCTCTCTGCATGCTTCCCAGAGGAGCTGTATTTGGCATTGGAAGAGGAGGAGATGTGTTCAGCCTCTTTTTATGTCTCCATGACAGAATCAGGGTTTCCTCCACATTGCCTACAGAGCATGCTCAGTAACAGGCCCTGACTTTGCTGGATTCAGAACTATATTTTATATTACAATACTTTGTGTTGGCAATGCAAGACTAAGTTCATTTTAGACACTTGTATAGTTGTTGTTATATCTTGGTATGACTGATTGTAGTACATGTGTTTCAGGACCTACGTAAATGGCTATTTCCATTTAACCTACAAAACAAAGTCAGTACCTGCAAGCCACAGAGCAAAATATGTGGTAAAACAAATACAAATTATCTTTATAGTGCTGAGTAATCTGCAGTATTGGTCGCCCATGTGTGTCATGTTGCTTGTTTGAGCAAAAATAATCCATACTAAAGTCCTTTAAGGCCAGTGCAGTATAGACAGTAGCCTACAAATAAACTATGAATCATTGCATTTCATCATGGGAAGTCTGGGTCTGATGGGCCAGGTGGTGTGTGTGTGTGTGTGTGTGTGTGTGTGTGTGTGTGTGTGTGTGTGTGTGTGTGTGTGTGTGTGTGTGTGTGTGTGTGTGTGTGTGTGTGTGTGTGTGTGTATAAACAAGTAAGCTAGATGTTCCTTTTACTCAGTATCCCTGTATATCGTACATACTATTTTCTGCGTCCTACATTAGGAGAATTGAGCACAGGTTATGCATTGTGAGCTATTATTATCATTGGATTTTGGAGTTTACGGATGACTGCAGCTCAGTGCGTGATGGTTATTAATATTTGCAAATCAAATCATGTTTCGTACAGAATGGAAATAGGACAGGAGTTTCTGAAGCCAGGGCTTAATCCTGGGATTACAAACGAGAGAACGTTCATAAACTCATGACTACTGTCTCTGTGGAAATACGGAGGAACGGTAAAATACACTAAAGCTCAAGGATGTTTATGCAGCACAACAATAGGGTCCAATTATGTTTATGTATTACCCTAAAGGCTGAAAAATAAAATAAAAAAGGAAAAGAGAGAGAAATGAAAGCAGTGGGAGGAAAATGTATTATTATTTTAAAATGTTTTGGCTGCTGTTCAGCTTCCTGTTGCAGTTGTTTTAATGCACTGTGTTTTCTTCCAGGAATGAATTCATACAAATATGTGTTAATACAACATACAGTAATAACAAAAAGAAAGTCAGAAATGCAGGATACAAGTAACATTTACTGACAAAGTCCCCAGATAGCATACATATATATGAATAAATATATGAGAGAGAGAGAGAGAGAGAGAGAGAGAGAGAGAGAGAGAGAGAGTTTAAATAATTGCTCTTGGGTGTGTTGTCCGTGGTGCTGAAATTATATTTTTTGAATATGATTGAGCAGCCCATATGATAATCAATATTTCATGGCGTGAGGTAAATTCTGCTTAGGAGGAGACAACATTACATTTTCACTCACATCTAGATGTTTTCTATTTCGCCACATAGCGCCGCTGTTGATCCATCAAGAGACAGCACTCGGTTCTTACAGACCTAAGCCCCTCCCGTTTGCAGGCGATTGGACCCAGTCTACAGTCTTTGTTATAAAGGCAGGACGGTGGAAAACAGCAGAATTATATTCAAAGCTCACTTTGTTGATATCTTCCTTACGGTTTGAAATATCTGAGCCTTATTTGATGTAGTATTTATGATTTTTTTTTTACATTGAACAGAAACATGTCTTTGCCTCGTGGATGGAGCTATTTGGGGATATTTCTAGGAGTCTTTCTACTGGATTGTCACTGGGAAACTGTGTCGGGGCAGCTCTCCTATTCAGTCTCAGAGGAGGTGAACCCGGGGACTCCTGTTGGAAATATTGCAAAGGACCTAAACCTTAAATCACAGGACTTGGAATCACGCATGTTTCAAATTGTTACCGGATCAAAGAGAAAATTATTCGAGGTAAATCTAAAGACTGGTGTACTATATGTCAGTGAGAGAATAGACAGAGAGGAGCTTTGCGCAGAGGAACTGAAATGCTCAGTCAGTGAAGAGGCTGTCATTAATAACCCGTTGAAGCTTTACCGTATCGATGTAGATATTTTAGATATTAATGACAATGCTCCATTTTTTACGACCGATTTGCAAAATATGTACATCGCGGAGAGCTCTTTACCAGGAGTGAAATTTGCATTATCTCAAGCAACTGATGTAGATGTGGGGAGAAATGGAGTCAGTACTTACAAATTAAGCCAAAATGAGCATTTCTCTTTGGCACTGCACAAAGAAGGGGACAGTGTGTCTGCCGAGTTAGTTTTGCAGAAAGCTTTAGACCGAGAGAAGCAACCTGTGATCACAATGACACTGACCGCGGTAGATGGAGGAAATCCTCCAAAATCAGGCACCTCACAAATCGTTGTTCATGTTTTAGACAATAACGATAACCTTCCAATATTCAGCCAGACGTTGTATAAGACTGAAGTCCCAGAAAACACGCCTCTCGGTACAATAGTAATCACTGTGAACGCGACCGATGCAGATGATGGCCTGAACAGTGACATTGTATATTCACTAAGAAGCAAAGATCAAGATCACGTACTTGATATGTTTGAAATTGATAGTCAGACGGGTGTTATTAAGGTAAAAGGTCATATTGACTTTGAAGAAAAAAAAGCTTTTGAGATACGTGTAGAAGCCAGTGATAAAGGGCAGCCTCCAATGTCCGCTCACTGTAAAGTGCTGGTAGAGGTGATGGACGTAAACGATAATGCTCCTGAGATCACCGTGACGTCACTACACACCACAGTGAAAGAGGACGCTGAGGTAGGCACTGTAGTTGCTCTAGTGTCAGTCCTCGATAAGGATGGTGGGAAAAACGGTGATGTGAACATTCTAATTAAAAACGAGGTCCCACTTAAACTCGAAACAAACTACAAGAATTATTATTCTTTGTTAGTTGACGGGCCCCTGGACAGAGAGAGAGTCTCTATCTACAATGTAACCATAGTAGCCACCGATAAAGGAACCCCATCACTCTCCAGCACGAGCATACTTTCTATACACGTGTCTGATGTAAACGATAATGCACCGCTGTTCCCAGAGCCGCTAATTAATGTCTATGTGAAGGAAAACAGTGCAGTGGGAGGAGTCATTAAAACAGTGACTGCAACTGATGCTGACGTTGACCAAAACAGACAGGTTAGCTATTCTCTTTTACATCGTAGTAATCCGTTGTCCTCGATGGTGAACATCAACTCAGAGACTGGAGATATAGTCAGCCTGCAGTCTTTTAACTATGAGGAGTTAAACACGTTTCAGTTTAAAGTGCAGGCCACAGACTCTGGTGTTCCTCCTCTCAGCAGCAACGTGACTGTGAACGTTTTAATTCTGGATGAAAATGACAATAATCCAACAGTCCTCGCACCCTATTCTGAGCACGGCTCCGTTAACAGTGAGAGCATCCCCTATTCTGCTGAGGCGGGATACTTTGTGGCAAAGATCAGGGCTGTAGACGCAGACTCTGGATACAATGCGCTGCTTTCGTATCACCTCTCTGAGCCCAAAGGAAACAACCTCTTCCGGATCGGAACCAGCAGCGGAGAAATCAGGACTAAGAGGAGAATGAGTGACAATGA